CCAACTACATTTCAGCTAATCATGCACTCCTGAGTTAAACACCACGATTTCTTCCCGCTTCTTCGCGATGCCTATTTCTCTTTAACATCCCCAAACAGCACCACAATATCATACACCAACACACTATCTAATTTCCCCATAACAGTATTTGATAAACGGTATATGCTTTTGATACTATGCCCTAGTTGGTAAGGCCGGACCATGTAGAGCTTGTAAGGTTTGGCATTCAAAGAACGATGAGTTTGGTGTGAGGTTTCCTCATTCTCGTGACCTACCTGGCAGACCTTATAGATCAGAAATTGTATCCAACTTTAAGCCTTATGATGTGCTAATGCGTTTGCGCAATGTAGAGAGCATTGGTAAGCGCTAGATCCTTCATTATCTTTTGTGACGTTTTCCAACCTCATTCTCAGAGAAAGCAGTCCTGAGGATCACAGTTATCACAAACTACAAAACTGGATTTTAGCGATTAGGTTTTAACGAAAACTCCATAAAGCTGAAATTTCTTTTCTGGAGGTCAGAAGTAAAATCTACTAACTTAAAGTTAGTAGATTTGTTATTACTATGTTTATTAAAACAAGCTTCGCACCGATCTAATGCGAACAGGGGTTGCAGGTCTATCAAAATCCGCAACGCTTCCTGTCTAATTCTAAATGTAAGAATGTAAGGTTGACAGAATACTCCCTCTTCAACCTTCCAAAGTGTAGCCGGATAGTAATGACAAAAAATGACTATTTAAGTATGTTGGCCAGCAAAAGAAAATTTATGGGTGAGATAGAGGATAGGAGTCGTATTTCCCCAGGAATTTCGGCGACTCTTTCCACTATAAGCCATTACAGATAAAAAACGTATTTACACATATGCAAACAACACAAATACAGTTATGTTTACTTAACTCGGAATGTATAGCGAAACTGATATTTGATTAGAGAACCAGATTACAAACATCCTTGAAAAATAAACGTCACAAATCAAGCGGAGCAAAATCGAAACAGTTAAGCAAAAAGTCAAAGGTGGAATCCAAAAATATTTCGCTTTCTAAATTGCAAAACAAACAGTACTAATTTTTGGTTGGATAAACAGGGATTTCTTCACAAAAAGAATAAGACAAGATGGGATTAAATGAAACAGTGAACTGCTCTGTCTGGTTCAAGCAGGTAGGATAAAAAAGATGTTCAAGAGAACTAAAAACAAATTATGAATATTTTCGTGTAAGACATATATCCGCATCATGAAAATGAGAATGGAAGAAAATAGGAACAAGAGCACCAATCAGCTGGAGGGAGAATATAAGTTGTATGAAGCCGAAGAAGAAAGGTTAGGCTATTCAACTGGTAAAACTATCAAATGAAGGTAAAATATGGCGGGCTAATCGATCCAGTGTAAGGTACTAGTGGCTAAAAAAATTAGGACATAGCAGGTCTAGATCTTTAGACCCGATAAAGTCCCCAGAGCCACGTTTTAGAATGTTGCAGTCATGAAGACAAGTCGTAAAATGCATGAATTTAAGAATATTTGCTGCAATGTACAATAAGGATTTCAGAGAAGGGTTAGCAAAAATGTCTAAGATGGAAAACCAAAGGATGTTCCTAGGTTAGATATCACACGACGTGGGCGACCTTTCGAAGGCCGGGGCATTTTGAGCATAGAAAAATGAATATGGCACCAAAAATAAGTTATGCAAAAACAAGATGAATGCTGCGTAAAGTCCAAACAAGCTTAAAAAATAGATGAAGACGTAATTCAGGGATCGGTAAAGCAGAAGCTACCGCCCCATAAGAGAATGAAAGAAGCCAGCTGTGTTAATTCGGCAAGTGCCTTATAGATTAATTTTGGAGTCTAGCCCCAAAATAGTGATAGATAATAGATGAATAAGTAGAAATAGACTGTTTGAGATACATTTAGAAATCATATTCCAGTGAGATGTGGTACAGAAGATAAATGACTAGGATGAACAATGGTAGGTACTATCAGCGTATAATCTTAGCCTGAATGGAGACGTTGGGTGACCCGGGGTTATAGTTAGATGAACAAAGGTAATGACTACTTATCCGTAGGTACCCGCAAGGCTGAATGACGTTTCTGTAATATGCCCGAAGAATTTATATGACAGATCGGCGGCGTAGCACACCTTTCCTCATCTTCATCCTCATCCCCATCACCAGTCACTTCATCATCAACAAAACTTTTGCCTGCGTTAGGTGCAGATGCCCCATCATCTTCGTCTACAGACCTAATAAAAAGCCCCGGGCGCAGGTCGCGGACGAGGTCGTCGGAATAGAGATTGTCTCGATCACTTCCCAGGCGCCGATAGCCACTGCCAATTGGTTCCCCAGGGACTGCACGGGAATGATGATGAGACGGAGGCTGGTGATAATGGTGCTGCTGATGCTGGACAAAATCAGGTCGGAAAAGACTGGAGTGGGCAGAGGCTGCACGCTCGCGCTCTTCTTCTTCACCAGAGCTGAGTACACAGACGAGTCCCCGCGATGCCCCAGTTGACCGCCAAACACTGTTTGGACCGACACGAAGCGAATCACAAGTCAACTCTGTTTCGCAGGGTTGAGCCACCAAACGAGAGAGATTTTCTGTAGAATGGCCGCTACGACGTTCTTTGGTAGAGTCTCGAGCCCTGCGTCGATGCCTCCGGCGACGATCGTCACCTAGAAAATAAGGATCAAGTCATACACTATAATGAGGCAAAGTTAAAAATATACTAGTTGCGAGATGAGTAAACTTAAATATGCCTATTTACCTGATGCCCCACCTGCCAAGGTAGGTGCCGATTCTCTTGTTTCAAGAGATGCATGTGTATCTTGGAGAACAGCTTTGACATCC